TGTATTTCTAGTACTGACAGTGTATTTCTAGTACTGACAGTGTATTTCTAGTACTGAGAGTGTGTGTGTGTCTGTGTGTGTCCAGGCTGAAGCGCTGCACGGTTTCTTGGACGAAGCTGACAGCAGAGTCGGTCTCTCTGTGGAGAAGAAAGCCAGCGTGATCCCGCGGGTGAGAACACAACTGTCAAATGTGACGACAGCCATCATCAGTGATATTAACGACGACTAATAAAAGATGAGACAGACAACACTTTAACTGGACTTAATGAGGAAAGTTCATCGTCACTTTTATGAAGTTTTGCATTTCATTAGTGAACGAGAAATGACCTAAAATAAACAAGTTAAAAACCACAAAACAAACTCTGAAGAAAAACTGTAAACTTTATTAACACGGCTGCAGAAGAAACATGGAACCAAATCAGTCGCCATTTCACAGATGAAGGTTTTGAACAGTGTTCAGTTGTGACAAGTTTCAAGGAAAAGAAGACTTAATTTTTATATTAGGAGTTGTTGAGAGGTAAATAATGTGTAACATTTGTTTTTTTCCACTGATGCGTTTAATTACAGTTTTTAAAAAATGTAGTCAAAGTCAGAAAACAAACAAAAATTGTTTGAAATGCTTTATTTTATATACTTCTGTGGAGTTTTAGGTTACTTTAATTAAATAAAATATGGAATCCTAACATCTCTGTCCTCTCAGTGTGACGTCGGTGAGCGATGTGCCATGAAACATGGGCCTCGGATCGGCCGGCTCTGCGACTGCCTCAGAGGAACGGCCTGCAACACCTTCTTCCTGCGCTGCTATTAAACACTCACTTATTATCTTTATCCTTGCGAGGACATAACCTCAAACAGTTAACACAAAAATCCTGTATGACGTCTTTAAACAGACCACGTCAACTGTCCTCACAAAGATAAAGGCACATACTGTCAAATATACTTTGCCTCCGCCTGTTTGTGTCTTTGTTTTTTATTTTTGTTAATAAAGATTCTTCATAAAGCTGCACGACTCCAGCGACTTGGTGATTTACGTACGAGCACAAAAACTGAGACTACTGAGGAACTGATTTAGATCTAGTTTAAATTTATCCGAGGATCATCAGATAGATTTATTTTTGACACGTTATCGTTGTAGTTGTACCTGAACAGTTTTGGACATGATCGCACCTGCGGTTCTCAAACTATCTGTCTTTTACTGTTTGTCAAAAATCATTAAAAAGTCTGAAGAATAAAGTTTAATTTAAAAGTGCAGTTTGAAAGTTTTAGGTTGTGGAGTTGTAGTTCATAATCTAACCTGGAGGTGGCAGTGTTGTGCCGTTTGTTTTAATGTTCGACTTCAATCAAAACAAAAGAAGTGTCGTTTGTGTGTTTGACAAAATTTAATTTGCAGAACATTTAAAAGCAGGTAAGAATTATTTAGATGTCTTCATTTTGGTCCTAAAGCTCCGTCGTACAATCTTACAATGACTGAAACTCTGATTATCCCCTGGTAATTCAGCACATTATCAAGTTTTAGGTTGTCCACAAGACCCAGGATTGTTCTGACCTAGTTTGCCTAATCTTTGAATTATTATTTTATAATCTCCAACAAAACACTTTAGTGATGGAATAATTTAGATTTGTAGTTGATCTTAGTTAAATGAACAAGAATCTTAAGGCTGATGTTTTGTTTCTCATTAAAGGTCTTGTTTAAAAATAAGGAACTAGTGACAGCAGAAAAGTGTCAGAGTTGATTTTAAAGCTAGCAGTCACTGAAAACAGATATTGTAGCAATATTTATATGTTCTACTTCCATAAGTCATAATTAAACATGTTTATGAACCAACCCACATTATAATATTTTCACAATTTATAATCAAATATCAGTTTATTCCTGACAATAGTAATTTTGATCCACACTCCACACCAGTAGGTGGCGGTAATGCACAACTTCCGTTGTTTGCCAACCGCCATAAATCTCCATTAAGGAGAAGAAGAAGAGACACCAGCTCAAGTCTCGGCATTGTTTGCTCATCGGCAGCTGCGGGAGACGCCTGTCCGGGGTGAACATGTCCACAGCTCAGGCTCTGAGGGCGCTGGTGCAGCAGCGGCTGACCGCAGCTGCGGAGGAGATCTGCGGCCTGTTCGAAGGCGCCATGGCGGAGCTCCGGGAGGAGATAGAGCGGCAGCGAACCCTGCTGGAGGCTCGTGCGGGGCCCCAAAGAACCGGAGCAGGTCGGTGGTTCTGTTTCGAGCTCCCCGGTACAAACACTGGTCCAGGTTGTGGCTTTATCTCACATAAACATGACGTTAAACCGTTGACTCTTTTGTCTTTACCGATTAGTAATAGCAGCTAAAGGTAAATCCGCGACAGACCGGATGTTTACCGTAGCTAGCCTTCAAAATAAAAGTTTTGAAACAGAATTTACTGGTAACATTACTTTAAAATTAAATTATAAAGGGGTCATATTACTGTTTATTTGGGAATTACTTTTTAAACGTATGCTGACCTTAAACTTAGATTATTGCTTGAATAAGACTCTGGGTATATATTTCTACAGATAGGAAGTTTATGGGTCTTAATTTAGATTTAGTGACAAGTGATGGTTGAAAGATGCATGAACTAAATAATAATAAATAATCAATAAGTGCTATGTGTTGTCATCATCGTATTGTCGGCTGCCCTATCTCTATCCCGGAAGGAATGCCTTGAAACTTTGTGCACTGATGTTCTCCATTTTCAGTTCTTCATTTTGTTGATTCTGACTTTTTAAAACTTTGTGATAATCCATTTTGCTTTAAAATTACACGAGAGTTCAATATGAACATCAAACTGACTACAACATTTGTTTTCTCAAACGTGTCTTCGCTAAAATCCAAATACTAGGGGCAAAATCAGACATTTTTTAATTTTACCTCCAGTGAGCCAGATTTCCTTTGAAAAATTTAAAGTGGTCTTTTAAAGTTTTCTGTTGTGTAGACAACATTGTTAATAATTTAATTATTTGCTTGCCTGTGTTTCACCTTCAGACGTCTACAAACTAGATGTAAAGAAAGAGGAGTTTCTGGCTGAGCAGCAGAACGGGACCTTCAGGTTGGACCAGGAGGACCCTGAGTCTTCACTCGTCAAAGAGGGACATGAGCAGCTTAAAGCCCCATCTTTAAAGCAGGAAGCTGCAGTCACAGAGTTTCATCTCATTCCTGTAAAGAAAGAAGAGGATCAACACTTTCATTGCAGCCAAACCGAGAAAATTAAAGACCATGGACAAGAATCCCTGCCAGACAATGAAATTAAATCAGAACCTGAGCCCAAACTCAGACGGGCCAATAAGTCGTCCAACGCTACTCAGTCTCATTCAGACTTTCCTAGAACTAAAGACCGTAATTGGAGCGGGAGACCGTTCTGCTGCTCTTCGTGTGGGAAAAGATTCAGTAGGCGCTCGAACCTGAAGAGGCACATGCGGATCCACACAGGAGAGAAGCCCTTCAGCTGCATGCTTTGCAGTAAAAGGTTTGTGCAGAAGGTGCATCTGAGGTATCACTTGGCTCGCCACACAGGAGAGAAACTATTCGGCTGCAGCACATGCGAACAAAGTTTTGACCGGCTTTATCAGCTCAGAAAACACCAGTGTGTCCAAACAGAGCTTCATCGCAGAGGGGCAGCCGAGCAGATGAGAGAAATTCAAACTGATGTCTTGGGATTAAAACAAAACAGGAATTTATTAAGCTGCTGAGTGCAGAGAAACTTTTGTCCTTAGGACTCGCGTTAAAGAAAACGCACAAAGAGAAAATTTTCAGATGATCAATTTGTAACAGTTTAATTTCTGTGGAGTTCAGAGACGCAGGAGAAGCAACGGAGGAGAGAAAAGCTGCAGTTTGTAACAAAATGTTCGGCTGACTCGCATCAGTTGACGCATCATTCCGATGCATTTAAAACGGCTCGTAACGTATAATTCCCGTGTGTCCAGATGTGGAAGCTGGCAGCTAAAATCAAATGACTGGAACAAACATCGTCTCTTCAACATCAATACCTGTTCGTCTAAAGCATCTTGAATCTGCCACAAGTCGCAGCTGTTTCTGCTTCCACGTGCTTCATATTTGTACCAGTGTTTCTGTGAGCGAGGTGAAGGGATGTTCACATTAATCCACGTTTAAATGCTTTTTAAAAGCTGAAGTTCAGGTTGTACTTTTTCATTTAGGCAAATAATTACTTTGACTCGTGAAATTTGAGTAAAGTTGTTTGGTGTGTAAAATATTGTCAGAATAAAATCTGAGAACTACAGAGAAAACTGAGCTGACACCACATATCTGTTAATCTTTAGAGAGCTCAAAGTGCTTCTTCTTTTGTTAATTTTGTTTTACATTGTGGAGAAAACCCCTTTTTTATTTATTTATTTAATTTTGCTTGCTTCTTAAAGTTTAAAATAAACTTTGCCGTTGTGAGTCTTAGTTACCCTGAAGATTTTACTCTCAGGCAAACTGTTTAAAATTCTTCAGCTGTTTACCACTTGTTGATAAATGAGTTTTTGAAACTGATTTTCTTGTTTCTCGACCGTTTCTTGATCCGCACTCACACAGTTTTAAAATAAGGCTGCAGGTTTGTTCGTTTGTGGATGGAGGATGGCTCAGATCTTCATGCGACCGCTCGCATTTATATTATAAAATCAAACTTTATGTATAAAGCACCTTTCATACAGTGGTGTGTAACAAAAAGCAAAGAAGATGAAAATAAGTTTAAACAGTGGTGACTTTAAGATGAAAAGACTGAAGAAATATACAGTTTCATTAATAAGGAATCACCTGAGTTGGGTGTAGAATTACAAAAGAAATGAATAAGTCAAATAAATAAAAACATTAAGAAAATAAATGAAATTTAACTAACTGGTAACTAGGTTAAAAGTTAGTTTCACTAAAATTAACAAGTGATTAATTAAATTTGTACAAGTCAAAAATACAGTAAACTTTAATAAGAGATAAAATTATCATAAAGACTTGCTAAAAATGTGAATACTGATAATCTTGGTTAAAGTCTGAAAGAACGTATAAATGTCTGGGCTTGTTGGCCTGAAGCTAACAATGCTAACTGTGCTGTGGTCAGTGGAGCTTTCTGCTAAACAAACTTCAGCTTGATTAACCTGAAGCTTTAATGAGCTGCAGTGGTCAGTAACTGGTTCTGTCCCTCATCTTCTTCATCATCAATGTGGTTCAGACTTTAGAAGCAGTTAATGCAGTTGAGTCTAGCGCCCTCTGCTGTCCAATCTGACATTGCAGCTGCATTAAACTGAAGGGCAAGTTGTGAAACAAGAAGCTGATGTTCTATTTCATATAGGCTTCGCCCTTTAAGGCTGTCGCTGATGGGTTTATCCCGTTATGCAGAGCATAAGCACTGAAAAAAATTAGTCCACGCCCACCTGCTGTGTGGGCCCCACCCGGTCCGTATAAATTACGTTAAGAGCGGGAAATCGGCTCCCATTTTTTCTTCAGCGAGCTAATATAGCACTGTCAGAAGAACAAAGAAGATAAATTGTGTAAATGACCAACCTTTGCGAAAGATGCTTGGCCCGGCAGTCGACCTCCGGTCGTCCGGTGAGTTCTCCTCCCCGAG